GTGGTGCCAAACAGAGAGGTGAGTCTTATTTGGAAGTGGGTGCTGGAGTTTCTCTTGATTTCTCAAACTAATGTTACCTCGCTAATTTTGAGAAAGATTTCGAACCGAACAGGGAGCCTTATTTGGGTAGAGACTTATATTGGAACCAGTTTCACCAGTTTGCCGGCCGCAAAAATGATGGATGATGGTTCTGACATGAGAGCCATAAAGCTGCGCCACTGACAAGCTAAGCTTGACGTCATAAAAACTCTGCGGTACTTTTCGCATATTTATGTTACCTATTGATTAATGGCACAGCCTGGGGTGAATCGTTCCGCTGGATGGGGTAGAGCTGTTCACGAGGGGCGCAGAGGTTCGTTATCAGGGCTCTGTAATGTGCAACAAAGGCTCTAGCGCCTTAGAGAGACTGATTGGACCGCTTCCACTTTCTCACAGTCGTTGATGTCTGCGCTCTCTCACCCGTTGTGCTCTCTTGCCTGCCCTCTCTCGCCCGTGCTCAGTCTCTCACTGCCTCAATACAAAATTAGGCAAGCCCTTGACTTTAGTGTTTCGACGGATTCTCTTCCTTTTTTTCTTCACTGCCGACTCACTTCGCACCAATACTTCTATATTCATGTGCGAGACTTTTCTTCCTACTATGATGGCGGTCATAGATGGTCTGACTTCGATCCTCTTGTTTGTTTGTTCGTTTGATATTTATTCAGTGTTAATTTAATGTTTATCTTTTCTACCCTGTGTTTAAAGACGTGTCATTTGGAGCGCATAAATAAATAAATAAGGGCCAGGCCAGTTTAGTCGTGGAGCATGCACTGACATTACAAGGCGATACGATGCGAGCTTTACTTGAATCAGGCTATCAAACCTCTTTACTCGGTTAAGCGCGTGCTCAAATTGGCGCACATCTCAGCCACGATTTCAGACCTTATTGATTGAAATTAAAAATATTACAACATGCTCATCAAAAACCATGGTCCTGACTTAGGAACAGCTTAACAGGAAGTTTTCTATCAAGACCTACTAATCGAACAGATTTCAGTTCCTCATGAACAAACGAAAGGCTCTGGAGGAGTTAGCGGATAAGGAGGGCGAAGCCAGCATTACTAAACCGGAGTCCTGGTGAGTAGCAGATTAATTGTGTTATAGGCAAGGTCAATTATCGCATTTATCAACCATATAAGTGGAAAATGGAAAAAAAATCAATGAAGTGAATGAAATGAATGGAACAAGGTGTCGCAGGATAGAGCATGGGCCTTCTGGTAATAATGGTCCAATTTTTGAATACAGTGGATCACGCGACGCGTCTAATTGCGGGTAAATTTGGAATCGATCAGAATTTAGCTTCTAAGAGGCGCTGAAAAGTTAGGAGGATGCTCTCAAAAACAGACCCCTTGTTTTCCTAGCTGATTTCCGTTCAAGTCACATCTCGGTGCTAACGTCATCTTCGTAAGTGCTCTGTAGTGACCCTCTGCTAAAACGACTAGAATCCGGCGGTGATGGTCCTAGATCCGGCGGTGATGGTACAAGCGTGGGTCAGCAAACTTTTTGGGAGCACCAGGGAGCAAGGCATAAAGGACAGGTAAAGCTCTGTTAGGCCGCACGGGTTCCACTTCGATTTATTGAAAGCACAACCCTTCCCTTGGCAGATAATTTCCTGTAGGTGGGAATAATTTGCCCTTATTCGTAATTTGCCATGCATTGCCTTAGAGATCGTTTCCCAGTAGCTGTAGACACAGTACAGTTTTGATCTTTTTAGGGCGGCTAATCTGGCTGATCAACAGCTATTTTGAAAGTTTGGCAAGTCAAAGGATCGCTGCGATGATTCGTCTGGAATCAAGAAAAATGGCGAAGATATGGGACGATGCGGGAGACGTTTTCACCTTAAACTTAGAAGACGTTTACCTTCTGCGGTTTGTATAGTAGATTTTGTACATTTTATTGGATGATTTATAAAGAACCATTCCGTCGTACCAATAAGGATATTTATAGTGGGAGAAAACGTCATTGACCGGAAATCGAAACCGTTAATTCTAAACAACTTGTTTTCGTCATAGTAGGATGTTCAGCTCTATCATACGCGTTACATTATGGGGCTGGTATTCATCCTTCCGGGGGGAGGTGCGTTTCCTCTGCTCTGATTCATTATCGGGATATACAAAAAGGGGTTACGTAGCAGCAGACGCATATCTTCTGTGTTGCTATCTGCAGAGTTAGAGAGGCCAGCGACTCACTCCATGTTGAAAGCCATCTGCCTTAAGGTCGCGCAGCTCTAACTGCCTGGCAGATAGAAACAGAGGTATGGCGGTCCTATGACGCAACCCATTTTTGTCTCCACCGAGGATTGAATCAGAGGAGGGAGCGCATCCTTAGGGGAAAGACTAAAGTGCGGACCACGGTTTTGCAACGATTGCAACGATGCAGCAGATTTGTGGTTCTGAAAACTAAGGACGTTCGTGACTGCAAGTCAAAGGGGATGGAGATCTCGTTTTCGAGTTCGAAGGGGGGAAATCAAATTTTTCATCCAAGCGAGTTCAAGTGTTCAAGTGCACAAATCGATGGCCGAGGCGGCTTGAGTGTCGAAGCTGAACATGATAGGCGCTTCATATTTGCAGAAATACGATAGGTTCTGCAGGAACGGCTTTGAAACGTGTGATCGGGGTCGTCGTAAACAAACTTTTTCGCGTTTCCGGTGTTTCCGTTGCAGGGTCGCCCGCCCAGGTAGTTGAGAAGCGTCCATCTGAGCAATCATGACGAATCCGGCAAGGAGCAGTGAAAGTGGGAACGAAATATAATTTGGGAGTATGTAGACTAATACACGCAAACTTCTTTGAATTGGGCACTTTGGATTTCGAGGCACAGCTATAAGGATGTCGCTAATGGTTGGCAGAATAGTACATACAGTATCGACATAGTGGAAGGTTTCCTGTGCATGCGTTTGATCTTTGACGTTTTACCCGAGTCACGCAATTGCATGCTTCCATAGGTGAGACTACCTTGCGGTAGCCTAAATTACTACGATGGTGGGCAACAATTTCTGGCAGCTCCCAAGCGTCGTCGATAATTCGCAAGCACTAGCACTGCTCCTCGCTCTCTAGCCGTTGTGCAGTTTCGTTGGTCACAGCACTCAGGCATCCACGACGAGGTAGCCCTTCGAAGGACAATAAGGACGAAGGTCGAAAAAGAAGATACTTACCTAGTGCAGAGACAGGCGGACTTTTGAGGGTGTGGACCGACACGCAATTCGCATAGCAGCCCCGGCGATCTAGCATGGCCTTCCCGAGGTGCTATGGGCGCTATCAGCGCGGTACGCCCACTCTTTCGCCGTCTGAGCCCCTAGCCGTTTAGCAGAGGAAGCGTTAGTGTGGAAGCGGGCACTATCGATGGGAGTTGCATCACAACGGGCAGAGAAGGGCTCCCATGAGTTATGGGCCGCTTCTCACTTCATCCCTGCACCATTAGCAAACTCTGCCTTGATTTCTGATGGGCTGCCTTTTCATCGTAAACTCGCCCTAAAACGAGTTTTTGCTCGAGGAAAGCGCTGATATCAACACTGAGTGCTAAGTTGGTATGTGTTGACTTCTACAAATGCAGCGCAGATGTAGACGACATCGGTGTCTAAGCGCGGTTTTTGTGTAAACTCATGAAAAAAAAGATGGTTGTAGCTGCACACTTTCAGATGTGTGTTTATATAACCGCCAAAATGAAGCCTTGGAAAGCTTTCATCATTCCCCCCTCCACTATGGGATCCCTCCAACTGATCCTCTGAGAAAATCTAGAAAAGAATGATCTCGACTTCTCCCTCAACCTGATAATTAAAGACAAGAAAACGTTGTATACCTCAAACAGTAGATGAAAAGTTGTAAATTTATTTACACCTGTTAACATACTATAATAGGGTTAGTAAAGGGTGGGCAAAGTTAAGAATTTTTCACAATGTTACCAATCGCATCGATGAAACTATCACAGCTTTCGTATAAAGTACACAGTATTCCCTAAAAGGGTACAGGATATGACAAAGAAGAAAACAAATCTTAAAAGAAAAATTTTAAAGAATTAGTTTAAGAATTATCACAAGTACGTAAACAAAAATACCAGCCAAAATGTAGGGCTACCAGTGCAGATAAAATCTCAACAAATAGTTGATATCAGTGCATAGGTTTGTACGTGTAAGTTATACCTGGTTTTTGAAATTAATCTCATGTCAAGGGGTAGCACATTGGGGTAAAAATGGGGCGGGTTAAATAGTATTACTAGAGTACAAATATTAAAGGAAATGATCGAAAATTACTAAGTGCTAAACGAAAATTCGCCTCGAGGGAAATTGGGCCAAAAATTACGGGACGTTGACTGATCAAATAAATATTGAAAATTCTAACTAAAGAGATGAGCTGAACAATCGAAGGTTATTAACGATGATATGGTACAAGAGTAGCAGGGTTGTCTGCATGGGTCTCACTTGGATATTCCCACCAGTACAGCGCCGGTTAAAGTAGTACAAATTGCGATCGATAGAATGCGTAGATTGCGATGACCTGTTATTTCTCTGAAGAAAAACCGTTTTATAAAAAATATAGTAGGCACCACCTAAAAGATAGAATAGGTGCAACTAAACGCAACTCACTTGAAATAAAATACACTCCACATGGCTGCACATACGCCTGGTACCATGCTAATGATAGGGAAAGTGACAGATTGTGATAGATTGTCGTTCGCGACAAACCTGAAACATTTTACCAGTAAATGCAACATGGCACAAATACTTACATTAACAATCACTTTGTTCTCAAAACTAGTGAATCTCAATTACAAACACGTCTTTTCCACGACACTAGCAAAAGAACACTTACCAGGAACTTTGTGCGACCGCCCACATACACCCAGCCAGCAAGCTCGGACCAAACGATCTTGTTGTTTACGTGATTGTTCTGCAAAATTTGCTCAGTGAAAAAAATTAAGTGGAAGCATATTTAGGAGAAGTGGAGAGATGCAATGAACTCCAAGCTTGTGAAAGCCGACAAAATGTACTGGCCCTGCTTTCTAGTAAGTATAATAGATAGTGTCTCTATCATCCACCAAAGGCGAAGTGGTGCTGTAGTAAAACATAATACAAGTGGCGCGCTCACCACGCGAGCGGTCCGGGATCAAATCCTGGGTCGTGAGTCGCCCGGGCCAACCAAGCCTTCCATCCCTCCGGGGTCGGTTAATTGGTACCAGACTTGTCTGGGAGGATAAAAACACTGACTTGAACATCGGCTGGCCCCCGCAAGTCATTGTATAGGCCACATCGCATTCAAACGCCACTGCGAATGTACAAATGGAAGTAGAATGCGTGCCGCATCCCAAAAAGGGATTGATCAACGGCAAATGCTTTATCCTTATCCTTTTATCCCATTACGTAAGCCATAAGCAAAGAACAACTTGAAAAAT